TTGGAGGGGAGGGGGAGCAGTGAGGATTGGGTGTGGCGTGGTGCGGACTCCTTCGGTCCGGTGCGTGGATTTTTATGAATTCAAACGTCAATGGACGGGTCACGCATCAAATGTTGATCCGTAAAAATCCCGCCGATGTCAGTTGGATATGTGATTTTCATACGCATCAAACGTAAATTTGATTGGATTTTATCATCCACGTAACATTTTTTTCAATAAGAAGTAAGAATTTTAGTATAGATTTTTCGAGATTCTTTATAGCAACAAAATCATTGAAGACGCACCATAAAGTAAATACTCGTTTTCAAAAAGACATGATGGATGGATAGGTTTAGAAGAATAGGCTAAAATAATTTCTACCACAGATGATGTTAAAAAAATATGCAACCTTTTGTGCTATAAAAGATGAAAATCATAAAAAACGAAGAGCAGGAAGAGAGGATACATGATGTAGGACGCTTAACAGACAATTTTATGGAGGATTCAGACAATCACGAGCTAAATACAGATTTATACGTATTATTGACTTCCACAAATAAACAATCATATCTTCCATCCCAGAATGCGGATTCTGACATATTATATATGTAAATCGCCTATGTCGACGAGACGGAGCCAACTAGATTGTTAGATTTTTAAAATATCATCAATAATAATTTTGACTGAAATCCGAAAATAATCAGCTTTTAGTTTATTTTTAGTAATAAAGTTGTAGTATATTTAGATTAGGAAATAAATTCAACATTAGAGTCAAATTAGATTAGGAAGAAAAAATTAATTTTGATTCGTGATTTGTTTCCTCTATTGTAGGGAGTCTTTTTAGGATTGAATTTGATAATTCTATTTCTTTGTAATTATAGTCTTATTAGAAGTCTTACTTATTTTTCTATTTAAGAAGAGTCATGTAACCCCAAAGAATAATATCTTTTCATCAATAAAATTTGTCTTTTAATATTTCTTCGTGGATTCGAAGATCGTTCTTTGTGGATTCATAGAACACCCTTGGTGAATTCTGATGTTTTACTTCCGCGCTGCGTTAATTGGTACCAGAGTAGGTTCCTCTGATCCGATGGCAGATGATGAAACCCATATTTCTCGAACTAAGTTTGATGAGTTGAAGACCGATGTTAATCATATGAAGACTATCATAGAGCGACTTGCATCGGCAGTGGAGCGTCTGAACACTGTAAGAGTTCGAAATCGCGTTGATGGTCGCCAGCGACGTGATCCGACTCCACAGGATGAATTCAACAGCGACAATGACCTTAAGCAAAACCTTGGAGTTGGGAAGAGCACTAAAGAAGCAATAAAAAAAGAAGAACCACCTCTGGAACACAATATCTTTCACATAAGATGCACTGTGATGCAGAAGGTTTGTGATGTTATCATTGATAGTCACATTAGTAAGAATCTTGTTTCTCGGCGTATGGTGAATAAGTTAGGTTTGAAGACAAAGAAATACCCACCTCTCTACAAGATCAACTGGATTCACAAGGGAAATGATGTGCAGAACGATGAGATGTGTCGGGTACCTTTTTCTATCGGTCGCAGCTATGTTGATGATGTGTTGTGTGATGTGGTCGAGATGGATACTTGTCATATTCTTTTAGGTAGGACATGGCAATTCAGTATTGGAGCTACCCACAGAAGTAGAGATAATGTTTATATCTATAAGAAGAATGGACGCAGGATTGTATTTATACCTCTTACAGAAAAGGAGCCATCTAAGATAAAGATTACTGAGAAGAAGAGACTCTTGGTGACAAACAACGAGGCTTTAGGAGAAAAATTAAAGCAATCTGAAGAGGTCTATGACTTAGTTGTAAGTGAAAAGGAGAACCTACCCCTACAGAAATTCCTCCTAAGATGCAAACACTCATTATGCAAGAGATTCATGATGCTGATGAGGATATGATAGTGAAGATGGATATTATGCATGATATTTTCAGAGAGTTATGAGCGATATTGCACATATTAACGATGTCCTGATGGAGGAGAAGGATAAAATAGAGAGTGAGGTAATTGACGGTATGTATGAATTGCTTGGTGGAGGGCTCGAGGCAAAGAAGATGAAAGAATTATGTATGGAGTATGAGGGAGAAAATTATTTTTTGGAAGCAATAATCATTAATAATTTCAACAACGATGAGATGATACCGCCGACACTAGAATATGGGAAGCAACAGTGAAAATATTTGGAAGAGTTTTTCATGTCAACTACAGAGCCACATGTTGCCAATTACATACACATGTCATAGAAAATATTCATACACAAGTTTGATACAGAAGAAGTCCTAGCAGAGGAGGTAAAAGAACAAATTGAGAAAATCAACGCTAAATATAAGGCGGATGTTGATCGTTGCAAGAGAAGAAAATTATTTAATAATAAAGCTACTATTCTAACAAATATAAGGTCAGGGTCGAGCTTCTTTCAACAAGAGGAGACTGATGTAGGACGCTTAACATACAATTTTATGGAGGATTCAGACAGTCACGAGCTAAATACAGATTTATACGTATTATTGACTTCCGCAAAGAAATAATCATATCTTCCAACCCAGAAGGCGGATTCTGACACATTATATATGTAAATCGCCTATCTCGACGAGATGGGGCCAACTAGATTGTTAGATTTTTAAAATCCCATCAGTAATACCCAGTTTTGGTTAAAATCCGAAAATAATCAGCTTTTAGTTTATTTTTAGTAATAAAGTTATAGTCTATTTAGATTAGGAAATAAATTCAACATTAGAATCAAATTAGATTAGAAAAAAAAATAATTATGATTCATGATTTGTTTCCTCTATTATAGGGAGCCTTTTTAAGATAGAATTTGATACTTTCTATTTCTTTGTAATTCCAGTGTTACTAAAAGTTGTACTTATTTTTCTATTTAAGAAGAGTCATGTAACACCAAAGAATAATATATTTTCATCAATAAAATTTCTTTTTTAGTATTTCTTCGTGGATTTAGAGATCATTCTTTGTGGATTCAAAAAACACCCTTGGTGGATTCCAAGGTTTTACTTCCGCGCTGCGTTAATACATGACAGAATATTTCAGCTCTAAAAAGAACTTTTACTTACACCTATCTATCTAGATTTCAAATTTTCATGTTGCGTATATTTCTACAATAAATTAAAAGATAAATTACTCATAACAAAATAAAATAAAATCCCTATTAATAAATATCAATTTTATGATTCCTGATGACACGTAGAGTGAGCTCTCTTTTCTCGAAAAGAATTTTCTTTTTAACTTTCTTTCCAACATAAGTGTACGTCAAAGGTCTATGTAAGACTTTTTTTTTTCTTAACTCAGTCAGATGTGTATTTGGCACTTGTGTATATATAGATGCAGCTCCGCTAGCATTGCAACCTAATCAAAACGGAGAGGAAAAAAAAAAGAACACTAGATAGAAAAGACTTTGGTCAATAACTAGAGTTCTATTCATCAAATTTGTTCTCCACATGGGATCCGGTATTGGGAGGGTTTGGTGGAATCTGAGTAGATGACAAATATTGTAGTGAGAATTAAAGAGTGGCCGCTTATTTAGGTTTGGACGGGAAACTGTTTCGCGCGTGTACGGAGTATAACGGCGGCTATTTAATGGAAGTAACTGTAAACAGACCTCATAAGTCCAGTAAGGCCCAAAAGGCCTTTGCAAGTTATAAAGGGCTAATTGCGGGAGCCCCCCACCCCATCCCCATGGTTCTATTGTGCTGAAGCCGGATGGTCCCCTGACTGCAAAAAAATAAAGAAAGAAAAAAGAAGAAAAAATCGCTCAGGAGTTCTATATGCACTTGGGAAGAGAGTAGAAAATATATTTCTGCAATTGGGTGGATAGTACGTAGTACGAGGGTTCCGTTCGCAATTAACTCAAATACAAATTTCCCGGAAACCACCTTTAACATCGGGTCATATTATATAGAAACCACCTTCGATTGTCAAATTATATGTGAACAACCTTTAGGTGGTTTCTTATGGCAATCAATCACCCGGACTCACCTTTAAGTGAAGTTTTTTAGTTTTACTATAATGATTAGTTATTAAATATCAAGTATATTACATAGGTGATCCTTAATTAAAATTAGTGGGGGTCAATTATCAAAAAAATTGCCAATATAATTCAAAAGGTTATGGGAAGTTTGATCAATGAGGCTCAAAGTGTTTTTGTTAAGGGGAGACTTATCTCAAGTAATATTCTATTAGCTCATGAACTCATCAAGCACTATGGTAGAAGGCATACCTCCCCAAGAGCCATAATGAATATTGATTTGAGGAAAGCTTTTGATACAATCAACTGGGGGTTTCTCAACTCCATGCTAGGAGGACTGGGCTTCCCTAGTAAAATGATAAAATGGATTATGGAATGTATCACCACACCAAAATACTCTCTGTCCCTCAATGGATCCTTACATGGATATTTTAAAGGAGCAAGAGGTCTAAGACAAGGGGACCCCTTATCACCCTACTTGTTTGTGATTGGTATGAAATATTTGTCAAGAAAATTAAGTGTGCTCAAAGATGATAGATTATTCAAGTATCCATCCT